GTGTGTATATATGTATGTTATATATATATATATATATATATATATATAAAGTACGTACGTATATACGTAATATCTATTTATATATATGTGTGTCTGTGTGTCTGTGTGTGTGAATGTATGTATCTATATATATATATATATATATAGATATCTATATATATGTATGTATGTATGTACGTACGTATTTATGTATAATTACATATAAGTGTGTGTGTCTGTGTGTCTGTGTGCGTGTCTTCTAAATATAAACATATATATATATATATATATATATGTGTGTGTATGTATGTGTCTGTGTGTGTTTTTTTAATACAATATAGCTTGATTCATAGATAAAAATGTATATTGAGATAAATATATGTGGAAGATACAAATATAGATATAGTATCAATATGTATAGAATTTATGTATTTATGTATATATATATGTGTGTGTGTGTGTGTGTTTGTGAGCATATATGAGGTTTGTATGTATATATATTTCAATACATGGATATATATATATATACATATATATGTATATATATGACGATGTATTTTTATTGGCACCTCACTATTTAATTTCCCTTAATTCCGTTTATAATATATTTTTTCAGAACTTAGTGCCAAAACGTAAAATGCCCTTGTACGTCCCCGTCCTGCTGTTTATATTGACTGGATCTTTGGGCAAGTTAATTCAGCAACGCCAAGAATTAGTAGCGCACGAAGAGTATGTGAAACTTCTGAGAAATCGACAGGCTATAATCCTGCGAATGCTGGATGAGGGTCCAGAGAGTATTGTTTCCCGGTATGTCAATGGCCTAGCTTCGACACTACCCGCCGTTACAGTGTCAAATCTCCCTACATTGATTTTGCAGTGTTTTTATTGGTGTGCATTCAAATCCGTTAAGTCAATGGCCTATCCCAAGCATTGCAATTATCGCGTATTTTAATGGTACAGTTAATATTCCATAATGTTTGTCAACTACCATTTTTGCTCGAAATGTCAATAGTACAGCTTTAGCACCATGTTTTGGTTTTTAACCCCCACTTACCGCTACAACAATGTTGTCCAACCAAATTGTGTTGTCTTCCGCTCTCATGGTATTCGTTCGTGTCTAGGCACTGTAGCGATCCTGATTTCAAATATGTGTTTTTATGAAATATGTTTGCACGTGTACGTTTTTTATCAGCATCTAACATCACGTTAAAGAAGTTTGTAAACATATACCTTGTACTCCAGGTGATATTAGTTGCATAACTACACGGCCATGTATAGCGAGTGAGTATTATCGTAAAAGTATCTTTTACTTGTTTTGTTCAGCGCATATATAGTTATTTCATTGTAAATGGAAATCAGATTGATATAATGTTAGTATGTGTCCCTCTAAAATGATAACCCAATTGGCATACCTCCAACAGACTGGACGAGCGCTTGCAACAGAAACCGGAGGTGGTGAAGAAACGCGCCATGACTTTCGATGATGTAAAGGACGAGCTCCAGCAATTGCTCTCGGTATGTGCAATCGTAT